TGTAAACGCAATATTGAAATATTCAGTGATTTTTTTTTTTTTTTTTATTTTATTACAACCTGCATTTTGTTTTTGACTAGATTGTTCGTATTGTCATGGAAGCTAAAGTCCATTTATTGTTTTTTTTCTTTTTTAGGTCTTAAGAAAAAAAAAAAAAAAATCTAAGTTTTAGAAGCCGTCCATATGTCAGTTTGACTAATAACTCACGTTAACACTCTTTCATAGCAATGTTAAAAAAGGATACATACATTTTTTTTCATTAAAACATGTCAAATGATCAGCTCTAGTTTAAATAAATTTTAAAATGCTTCTGGGAGTAGAATATACAATACACAAAATACATAAAAACAAGTTTAAAAAACGAATTAAATTTTTGCTTCGTTAAAATGATATGTTGTATAAACGAAAAATAGCAATAAAAAGAAAATTGGGAATGCTTACAGTTTTTTTTTTTTTTTTAGTTAGCTTCCAAATTAAAAGAATCTATTGTCGAAATTAATTTGTATTATTTACAGGGCCGAAGGTGTTAGAAAGTATAAATTTTGAAGTTAGTGAGAGATCAGTTTATTTCTTTGTTTTGTTTTCAAGAATCTGGTTATTGTCTTCAAGGGATAATTGAAAAGGAAAAATTATGTAAAAGACGTTCGTTTATGACATCAGAGCGCCAACGAACTTAAGGCATTAGAACGCTTAGCATTGTTTTATTATAAATTATCTTTAGAAAAAAATGTATGACGATATTTTATTAGGTTGATGCACAAGTAATTTCCACTTTTTGGGAACCAATTGTAAATGACAAATGTATTTTCCAAATTACTAATCATACATGGCTGTTAATAATAAACTTGGATTACACTAAAATAACTTGGTTCTCCACGGCAATGTTTACAAACACAGTGGATTCAGGAATAAGTTTCTTACCTCCACTGATGGAAGTGAAAATGTTTGTCACATAATGCTAGAAAAGTTTAAGCAAAGGAATAACACTATGGAGACATCTACAAAAACAGTGTTTATAGTCATGACTGACCGGCAATTACAAAATTGGTTTTCAGAGTTTTGTTCTGGAGAAAATGTCGTTGGAAATTTATTGATGAACTTTTAAAGCAAGGATCGGCAACCCAGGTCCGCCAGTTTTAACACCTGGACACAAATTAATTTGTGGTGCAAGTGGCAGAAAAATAACAGTTGGAATTAATCAACTTACAATGCGACGAATTTTTAAAATCAAAATGTAATTGCGAAACCACTGCTGACTTCCATAAAAATATATATTTTGCCAAGCGGAAAATATAAAAGCCTATTGAATTGTATCATTATTTGGAAGTACATATGCTTGTGAATAACTTTTTCGAAAATGAAATATGCTAAAATCGTTTTTCGAATAAGGTTGGGTGATGACCACCTGAATTATATTTTTTTTTTCTCCTGTTGCCGACAAATATTTCACCTGAAGTGAAGAAGTTATCGAACAATAAGCAGGAACAAGTGTCTCATTAAATAATTTGCCATTTTTAACTTTATTTCATTTGTAGTAAGGAATTTGCATATTTTGTTCATTTTGTTTGTTGTTATCTTGTTATAACTGCAGTAAAATAAGGAAACTTGTTTAAATAATATAACATTAACTTCGTTGTTTTTTCTTTAAACCTCCTGACCAAAGCAGTCTTCTGGACGTAGCGGTCTGGGGTCGAGACAATTTATTATAATAAATTTGATAAAGTGGACCTTCTCTGAGACACTAGCCCTCTCACTCCAAAAGGTTGCCGACCCCTGTTCTAAAGTCAGGAGTGGAAAGCAATCGATATCAAAGTATTTTGGAATCAGCAAAGATGTTAAATACATCACAATCTACGATATGTTGACATTTAGAAAAGACATAGAAAGTTAGCAAGCCGAGTGTTCGGGTTCCATATATATATATATATATATATATATATTTTATTTCTTTTTACAGTAAGGTTCACCCTGTACAAATCCAGTGAGCCACTCAAGGAAGAGGATTACGCTAAGAGGCAATTTGTACTGATAGGAGGGTAAGATAACCGCTAACCCTAGACTTGAACAGGTTAAAATTGTAGTAGTCGGAGAAACATCCTCTTGGGAGTCGGTTCCTGAGAGTAATAGCTCGAGGGAAGAAGCAATTTGAGTGGAACTTCTCACCGATGGTATACGTAGGGAATGTGGGTAGTCTGCTACTATGTAAGTGGCACGGTGTTCCCTTGCTGTGAAGGGTTTTAACTGACGGAACCAGGTAGGGTAGTTCGTCCGAGAACTTTCCGTGGAAGTGGCGATACAGCAGCGAGAGGCTTGCCACATCCCTTCTGTGAGGAAGAGGTTGGTGAATAGAGAATAATTCGTCACAAACAAGGGCTTAGAAGACGCTTTTTGGACTATCAAGGCTGCTGAGCAAGGTCTGGGCACCGCTCGCCCAAATATGACAACAGTACTCCATTTTTGGCCTGCTCTTATGACAACCTTATAGTTTAACGTCCCAAATTTCCAAGGTTGTTGTGAGGAGACTTAGCATTGTGTAACGTACAAAGTTGATAGAAATTGGCACTTTAAAATTAAAAGTTAACATCTAATCAGCTATTTTAACTAGGTACATTTATTTATTAAAAAAAAAGGATATATATATATATATATATATATATATATATATATAAAACAAACATGTTTTGGTAGATTTGATAAGATTTTGTTATTAACCGAGTAATTTTGAAACGCTGAACTACGATATCACCAAAAAAAGTTCACGATTGTACATCTCGCGGTACAAATGACTGATCACGTTCCCATAAAAAAAAGGGAAATTAAGGAAATCTCAGTACCTTTTAGTTATAACTAATCTAGACACTAGTTGAAAGCTTTAAGCATTAAAACTGGCAGTGGCAAGTGAATTATTACAATTCCGTGGGTCAGTTGTTAGAAGTATAGAACTGATGTCCACATCGTCGTTTTCCACAAGTCATTTTTAATGTAGGCACTTAGAAATAAAAATAGCGACATCTTTGAATCAAAATTCAGACATCAGATAATGTTTACTTTTTCTTAGTACAATGGACGTGGAAACGATGCCAAAGTCAAACACAGCTACGACATGTTGAGTGGACTTAAAAAAAAGATGTAAACGGAGAATTAAAATGAAGATTAAACATGTATATATTTAAAGTAAAATTTGTTGGAAAAAGTTTAAAATAAAATAATTTTTTTTAATTTGTGCTGTAAAAAATCTGATTGATAATAAAGATCGACTACATAATTTAAATTACATAATTTAATGTCCCTTGTTATTAACGTTCAGTAAAGAAAGATGTTTATAATAATCTGTTATTCCGGTTTCATCATTTTCACATAGTCAAAGGCGGACTGCTTACAGATTGGAAAGCGTGATCAGAAATTATAGCCTTCGGAGTTAGATAGGGAGAATTAAAAAAAAAAAAAAAAAAAAACTGAATAAAAATGTTATTAGTATAAATTAAAATATTTTCGATGTTTTATTCCAATTCAGAATCCGAAGTTATATTTTTGTACGATTTTAAAAATTAAAAAAAAAAAAAAAAAAAACAATCGTTCCTCCTTTCGATGTTTATATTAAAAAAAAAAAAAAAAAAAAGTTTTACTAAATCTACTTTTGTGGCAATAATGTCTTAAATTTTGAAGCAAAACAAGTATCTGGTTTATTAAATAAAATATAATAAAATTCTTATTGCAGTCGAACAATAATTTAAATAAAAAAGTCGAAATATACATTAAAAATTTCGTTTCTTTAAGTTTTTTTTTTTTTTTTTAGAAGGCGAAAGGAAAAAATGGCGCATGGAGGTATCGAGGAACAGGGCGTGTCGAAACTTACAAGAAACTATAAACCAAGAGAATATAAAAGCGTCAAGGAGAATTAAATTATCACTAAGTTATTCAGTTATTTACCTAATGTAAAACTTGCTACAGAATTACTCCTGGAAAGTAGTAATTCTATAGAAAAATTCTACGTGAAAAAGTGTGTCGAAAATTTATTTTAATCGAAAGACAACAACCAGATTCCTTGGGCCACAGAAAGAAATAATAGCTTATTCAAGAGTTGAAACATGTACAAATGTAGCAGTTGGGAAAGGAGAAGAAAAATTAAAAATAGATCTATTATTTTAAAATATTTACAATAATTTGCCAAAATAGCGTTGATACAGTTATCTTTTAATACAATACACATACACACAAATGTGCGTGTTTGAAAGTGGAAAATAAAATTTAGTATCTAAAGTTATTTTAACAAAATCAATAACACGTAAACAGGAAAGCAATCTGTTTTGGGTAAAACGCACAACTAATAAAAATATACAATAATGTACGTTCCAAACTTGGAGATTTTCCTGTATAAAATAAATTCTCTTAGACTTGAATAATTTTTAAAAAGATAAAATTTGGCAGATCTTAAACGATTCCGTAATAACCCTGGTGAGTTTTATGTACAAACGCTTGTACTCCCAGGTATATATATATATATAGATAAAAATTCTACAAAAAAATAAATTAAAAAAAAAATATCACCGACACAAAATGGATGAACCAAACGGTACAATAGCCAGGCTTTCAATATTAAAAATTTTAAAAGGTTCAATTAATTTAGTTATTAGGGCGTTTTATAAATTAATTTTTTTTAATATTTATGCTTTGACCGAAAAATTTGAAATTATGATACCGACATTTGGTTTTATTTTAAAGTTGGTAATTTTAACTGGCAACAGAAGGCTAGTTAGCCATGCAGACAGTTTTTGTTTCCTTATAAACAGCTATAAAGTTTAAAAAATTAAAACTGAAGTTACATTAACATTTCATTTTAAAATCAGATTCAGAATTTCTCAGTCTAGCGTCGTAAAAATATGGAAAAAAAAAAAAAAGCCCTCTCTGTAGGTTTACAGAAAGTGGATATTTTCGCTTGGGCTATCCACCTTGATATGTGTGACGGTAAGTTGATTTTTTTCCCTAAAACAAAATAAAAATCAAGCCATAAATAATTCTATATAACGGCTGCCGATGTTGTGTCTGTTTCGTTCTGTGATAGCGCGTTCCGCTTCGCATCGGCTAGCAAATGTCACCAGAGCATCACCATTCGGCCGGCCATCATTATTCTGTTGAATTTGGACACATTCTGGAGATACCTGAAAAGGAAGAACGTATCCGGGTTCATTCCTGTTCTTGTAATTCAAAGACAGAAGGAAAACAAACAAAAACAAAAACAAAAAACAAAAACAAACAAACAAAACAACAAAACAAAAACATTTACACGTAAACAGAAGAGGGTCAAGAGAGGAAAAAGTTATCAGAATTGGAGATATTTATCAGTTATCTCCTAAATTTTAAATGAGATTTTTTTTTTTTTGCAGTGAAAGCATGCAAAGCAAGCAAAAATAGTCAAGGATGTCTACCTGCAGTGCTCGCTGAGGATTCTGCTTAGAACCAAATATAGGAGAGAGAAAAAAAAAATAGCCAGAATTAACTTTCTGGGCGACAATATGTAAATAATATGAAAGAATTTAAACATCACCATCACCGAGTAGGAATCTTTGAAAATAGACAATCGTTCTCACATTGGAGTTGAATAATATCAATTTTTTTTTGTGGATAGAGAAAAAAATGTTAAGTGTCCATTTTATTTCTAAAATGCGCATAAATTAAGGACATATTATAAAAATTGAAATTTATATAATACGCACCCCAACATTTATCCTGGGAATCTCCCAAGAGATAACAAGTCACAGTAGGATTGTTTTGTTTGAATTTATGGGATGTAGAGTTATTTACATTCGGATGTCGTCGTCTTTGTTGTCACGTTTCGGTCGTTGTGCACTCTGGCCTTTAGTTACTTTTTGATCGGGTAAACTTTAGGCAATTTCAAACTGAACCCATTATTTAATCTAGCCCAGTGAATTATAGCGTTGGTTCGTGAATTTGGTGGCATAGTAATCATGAGTTCAATCCCTGGGCTGAGATTGAGAGATAAACTTGGACAGTGGAAAGAGAAATAGTAGTAACTGTTTAATTAGAATAGGCTACATTATCAATCTCTTTAAGAACATAATCCCTTATTTGGGATAATATCCAAATGTTGGTTAGTGAATTTGGTGGCCTAGTAATTGTGAGATTAGGCGACTAATAACTGAATAGTACGAAATAACAGTTAAAATTTCCTTGAAGATTACCTAGATCGACAGACTTTTGGAAAAAAAAAAGCCACAACAGTCGAAACTTTGTGATGACAACAAATTTGAGGACATTAGACTGAACTTGATGTAATTAATTAATAGTCACAATACTAGTTTTGGAACTTATTTTAGCTTGTTGGTATTGTACACCATTTCCATTTTTTATTTTTTTGCCTGGGTGTGCGACATCTATCGTTTCAGATTCAGCTACAGAATGCAACACGTTAAAATAAATAAATAAATAAAAATGGTGCGTATTATATAGAGTAAATTATTAACACCTTCAGCGCCAACGGTTTTTTTTTTTTTTTTTGATGTGTGTTGGTTAAGGAAAAAAATTGTGATTCCCTGGAGACTAAATAACATTGCTGAAAAGCAAATATTATTCATGCCACCGTGATTATTCATGATACCGTGCGGAGGATAAGATGTAAACAAAAACAAAAAAAAAAAAACAAAAAAAAAAAAAAAAAGGGTGGACGTTAATTAACGTCAGTTGGCGCTGAACGTGTTAAGAGGAATTTAAAAATTTAAACTAACGAAAATTATTTAAAAAAAAAAGAAAATAGGAAGGAGGGGGAAGGCTATCTATTGAATAGAACAGGTTGAGCATCGATTATTTAAAATGTTCGAGGATGGGTGGGGTGGTGTGGGGCGCAAAACTGTTGGTATTTAGAAATTTGAAACACTATTACCTTGCCGTAAACAATGCCATTGCTTCAGCCAGCAGGAATAAGACAGACAAGTCTAACCAATACATTCACAGCTCTTATACAAAAAGCCTACAGTTAGGTTAGCTTTGGCCCTGAAATAGTTGTAAAAGACCACGTTATTGGCTAGATTTTATTTTATTTTTTTTTTTACCCTCGTCCAACATTAAAACAATTAGTCACCACCGTCTATTAACTTTAGATGCAAATATAGTTTTTTTTTTTTTTTCTACTAAAGTATTTTAAAATAATGACATCTCTTCATTAAGAATCACTGTATTAGAAGGCATTTTCTAAGGACGACTGGGAAGGAAAAGGGTCCTCTAAATGCTGGGTTTATGGACAGGAAACCAATCACCGCAACAAAGCTTTAGAGTGGGGGTCGGAATTAAAGAAAAAAAAAAATAGTGTGGGGAAACATTTCGCGGGTTGTTGAATATTTCACCCATAGCTAGGGGGAAAAAAAGATGAATTCATGCCTCCCCACAAGGGCATTATTTAGAAGTGAACGGATAAAGAGCAGTTTAGATGAGGCACGAGACCGAAGGTATAGGGCACCGAGTGGGATATTCTATCCAATTGTTTAACCCATAGCTGGGGAGAAGTTACGGATTCTTCCTCCCCAAAGAC